GACCCTATCCCCTCTCATGTGTTCTCTCTCATTCTCTCTCTCTCAAATAAATAAATAAAATCTTTAAAAAAAAAAACGCTAGCTTCCTGTCTCTTGGTGGGACAATGCTGAAGCGTGTTCTACCCTATCAGAAGACTCTCAGAGGATTGAGCTCTAAGTGCCCACAGTAGTAACCCATTCACCCTCTAAGGGAGGGAAGCCTCTGATGCCATTTGCTTATACTCCAGGGTAAGAAAGGAAAAGCCAAGACTGCCCCCTCCCCCCCCACCACCCCGAGAGGATTTGTTTACCAGAATAAAGGTTTCTTTCTCCGGGGGAGGTAGAGAAGGAGGAAGATGAGGAGGAAACAGACCCATGTGCCAGCTGACCTATATAAGTTCTGAGTCTCATAATTTCAGCATTCATCTCTTATGATGCAACCCCACTGTACACTCAGAATAACATCAGGCTTTCATCGCATTATCTATAGAGATAGGGATGCAGGGAACTGGTAAGAAGATGGTCTGTGCATAATAAATGATCTTTTTTCTGATTCAGAGACTTCGTATTTCCTGTCAGAAAAAAAAATTGAAACCTATACATATACATTTAACATGCAGTTCATTTTATTTATTTATTTATTTAGGAGTGGGGAGGGGAGGGGCAGAGGGAAAGGAAGAGAGAGAATCTTAAACAGGCTCCACACTCAGCGCAGAGCCTGACACGGGGCTCCATCTCACAATCGTAAGATCATGCCCTGAGCCAAAATCAAAAGTTGGAAGCTTAGGGTGCCTGGGTGCCTCAGTTGGTTGAGCATCTGACTCTTGGTTTTCGATCAGGTCATGATCTCGCCATGGTCAGATTAAGCCCCGAGTGGGGCTCTGCGCTCAGTGCAGAATCTGCTGCAGATTCTCTCTCTCTCTTTCTCTCTCAAATAAATAATAAAATCTTTAAAAAAAAAAGTTGGAAGCTTAACCGAATGAGCCACCCAGGTGCCCCAACATGCAGTTCATTTTAATTTAATTTCTCCAGGATGAGCAGCAACAGGTGTGGAAGGATAGAACCAGCAGAATGAACAAAGTGCTTCAAGGTCTAAATCCCACTGAAAGAGACCCAGGCTTCATCCTTTCCTGCTGCCTGGAAAATTTATCCTTCAGGATAAATGTCCTTCCTGCCTTCATAAAGCTTCCCCAAATACCTATATTTATTGCAAGCCTTGCCTGTGTACACACTGCACTCTGCTCATGCTCCTATGGATGCACTAAAGCACTGTCTTGTCATTACCTGGCTATTCGTCTGTCTCCCACAGTAGGCTGTGAGCTCAAGTCAAGCCATCTTATAACCCAGAACCTGGCACAAGCCCAGTTACATATGCTTCAGTCAAGAAATAAGGGGTGGATAGACGGATTTCATGGTGGGATGAAAGAATAATCAAAAACGGAAGAAGAATTCTGCCTTGGTAGCCAGTGGCTCTCTTAGGAGGACTTCCTGCATGGCCAAGGTAATGTGTGAATTCACCTGGGAGGACAAGAAGAATTTATGAGAGAAAAGGGAGAGGGTAAAGGCTTTCCAAGAAAAAGGTGGAATGAACACACCAAAGGTGTAAAAGAACAAGGAGTATTTGGAGAACTACAAACCATTAGGTACAACTGGAAGACAAGGTGTGTGAGCTGGGTAGGGTGGGAAAATGGGGTACAAT